ATTCGTATCCGGATCCATCCAAGTATATCTTACTCTGGAACTTGGTGTTCTTTTCAATTCTTTCCCAGACAAAAGCTTTGCTCATTTTAATCAACCACCTTTACAGGCAAAGATCACACTACGGATATTTTACTGTTACAACAATGATCTAAGATGCTGGGAGCATAAAAAATCTAAAGACAGTTGGAGAACTTTGGTTTACTAATTTAAGGAAGAAATGCGCTACAATGCCCACAGTTTAATGGAGAGGGTGTTACGGGCAAATGCAAATATTACAAGTTTTAGAATGAAATGTTGTATTTCTTAAACTGTGTACTTTGTCTTTAAGAGATATTGCAAACTGACAAGGTGTTAGAAATGGAACATATTGTTTTTCATAACTGTTTCTTTAAGCAATAACCTCAGTGCATAATATGTTTGCACCATTTTGTCCCAGACGAATTACAATAACAATAATGCATAAACAAGCTTCAAGGCTATGCTACGACTCTTGCAGTACACAATATACTGTGGTAACCCCAAGTTAATGGAACTTCCCCAAATCCGGGAATCTCCCACGACTGTACACTTACGACTTAGTATAAACAACAGATAACCTATTCAGACTTTAAGATGCCATCTTGAACTAAGTCAGGAAAATTTCCATGACGTATACACCCTTTAGTTATGGCCTTGTATGTTTGCCAAATTAAGGGAGGACCTAAATTGAATAAAGTAAAAGAAGTGTTACTTTTTCATATTTGAACTACAGTAACCTAAAATGGAGACACCTAAGGTATAAATAGGTGTACTTTTAAATGTTAAGAAACAGAGGAGAGACTTGGAGACAGACGCTGCTCCATCTTAAAATGACAGAGAGGCTGACATGATGACATGTTCAGAAGGGTATGTTAACCTATTAATGATATTTGCAAGCATGTAATTTAATCTTATAAACTCTGCTATAATGGATTTTATATTTTTATATAATAAATATCCAAAAGACAATCTTGCTTCCAAGACAATCCTTATTTTATATTGTATTCTCAATTATTTATATATGTTAAATAGAGGATCTCTTACACTATATAAAATTATGGCTAAGATATCTGTATGGTTAGCCCTACTAAGTTCTATGCTTTAAGACATTATAGTGGTAAATAAGGGAACCACACACGGTTACAATATGAGTGTGTGTGTATAATGCAGAGTGTGTGTTTGTATGAGTGTGTGTATATAATGCAGTGTGTGTGTTTGTATGAGTGTGTGTGTATATAATTATAAAAATCACAGAATTTCATAGCCCCAAGTTTTACTCTCGACTTATCCACGAGGCATAGCATATTTCCCAATTGTTGGTCACAAAACTGCACTCGACTTATACATGAGATCGACTTATACATGTGTATATACGGTAATGTCTAAACGTTACCATTCCGATAATGGGAAATGAATTTAGCTACCATTTGGTAAGTATAATGTATAATGGGTTTTATTCTGATGTAATTTATCAATTGAAATCCGGCGCAGTAAATCAATCATTGTTGCAGGAATCTAAAGCCCACTGAGCTTCCCTGTGCATTCCCTTTCTGACATAGCCCATCTCCTTAGTGGAACCATAGCTCAAAACCCAAAAAGTGAACTGTTGGTCTTTGGAGATTTTAATATTGATTGGCTGGATGCTAAAATCAATAATTAATGCACGCTGTTTAAGACTTTGCAGCTAACGCAATTAATCTCCTCCCCAACTTGCATAAACATTAAAAGCCATAACCATACCCTGCTAGATTGGATTCTCTCCACTTCTCCTGATAGAATCCAGGAGGCCGGTGTTCTCCCAAACACTTTCAGTGATCACTGTTTAGTGTACTGCGTGCGCAAAATAAAGGCTATTAAATCCTCTCCCAAGGTTAAAATAACTAGGTACTTCAAAAAATTTAATCTTGAATCCTTTCTAAATGACATCAATAACCTCCCATGGCACAGATTAAACATTATCCCAGATCTAGACTGTGCTGTTGAATTCTTTCAGTCTGAACTCCTACAAATAAGGTGAGGGTAAAATGAGTACATATGAACTGGATCACAGCTGACCTCACCCAAATGTACCAGTTTCGGGATTCTTTGTGGTCAAAGTTTAAGCGTACTGACTCTATGAATGATCACTGTGCATATAGACAATGGTGAAATATATGCACAAAACAGACAAAATTGGCCAAGGCCCAATATTTCTATGAATATCTGAACAATAACATCTCAAACCCTAGAAACTTTTGGAAAGTCATAAATAAATTACACTCCCCCAATAAACTCCCAACCCTCCACTGTCAAAGTGGATAACCAAACCCTGCAACTTCCCTTAGATGTAGCAAATGCCTTTAACAATTATTTTGTCGGATGCTCTACTGCCCTGATTGCCACGCTAATAAATGACATGCATCCTGAAACTACAAATGTGGATCAGGTCCCACTAAATTTGCAAAGGCCCAATATAGACTAGTTCATTTTTAGACCTGTACCTGTTAGTGTCATTAAAAAACATCTTAATAATCTAAAAATGAAAAACCAGTCCGGACCTGATCAAATCCCAGCAATGCTGTTGAAGCTCAGTGCGCCGGCAATTGCTAAACCCGTCGCAACTCTAATTATATGTATCTGATCGCTCGCAATATGTGTCCATTTCTGACAGCACTCCCTCTCCCAGTCACATGTGGTGTTCCCCAAGGTTCCATTCTCGGCCCCCTACTATTTACATTATTTATAAATGATCTGCCTAATGTCTGCAAATCCTCAAATGTACACATGTACGCAGATGGCACAGTAATCTATGCGAGCAAATCCAATCTACCACAGCTTGAGGCTGTGCTCCAAGACCAGTTTACAGAGGTAAAAAAGTGGATCACAAAAAACAAACTCTTCCTGAACATTGACAAAACTGTCATGATGATCTTTGGAACAGTACCTAAATTACACAAATTACACAATTCCCACCTATCCATCAAAACAAATTCAAATAGCACACTGACCGCAGTCCACTCTTTCAAATACTTGGGTATAATGCTAGACCCCAATCTATCTTTTGGCCTGCACATAGAAAAGCTTGCATCTAAATTTTATCCAAAACTAGGTGCCCTGTACAGAAACAAATCCTGCCTAAGCCCTACAATAAAGGAAAAGATTGTACAGCAAATGCTGATGCCATTCATTGATTATGGGGTTGTAGTATATGCATCTGCATTGCAATCCCACATAAATAAATTCATTGTATAACTCGTTCTGCGATTTGCGCTACAATGTAATTACAGGACTCACCATCTTGACATGCTAAAAGAACTAAGCTGGCTGTCGCTGGAATCCAGACGCACCCTTCATCTTTCCAGCCTTGTGTTTAAGAGTTTTTCTGGGAAACTCTCACCCTACCTGAACAAAATGCTCTCCTCGGCTGTTCCCACTTCCTATAACCTCCGATCCAGTACCAACACTTTACTTAGTCTACCTCAATACAAAAAAGAAAGCAGCCCGATCCTCCTTCTCCTACAGAGCACCGCAATTGTGGAATGACCTCCCACACAATTTAAAATCTTCCCAAAGCCTAAAGTCCTTTAAGAGATTACTCTCTACATAACTCAAAACAGAATGCACCTGTCATGGTTGATTATATATTTCCTAACTGTTCTATGTTAAATTTAGTATTTATTGTGTATTAATATTGTTTTTGTATTTTATTGTACCCTAATGTAACAATGCAATGATTTGTGGACCCAGGACATACTTGAAAACGAGAGAAATCTCAATGTATCTTTCCTGGTAAAATATTTTATAAATAATAAATAAATGTTATTCTTATTTTTACTCGCATGTTATGTTTTGCATTCGTATATACTTTATAATCAGATATATCCTCTGTTATAAGATGTTTCTCTCTACCAAAGTTATATATATAATAATAACTTAAGGCAAAATGTTTAGCATAAGTATATAACTTTAATAAAATCATCCGTGCCGCCTGGTAGGCAGAGTATAAAACTGCATAGTAGCGGCCATGGCACCTATCTTGAGAAAGCCCTCTTGTGAAGGGCGAAATGCGTTGAAGGTGCCGGACATATATTGCAGCATCTGGTGACCACACACGAGGCTCCAGCTCCCAGCGGGACATAGTTTTGGTGTTCCTCCGAATTTAGATCGTAGATGGTCAGCTTTAGTGCACAAAGCAGACGCTGTCTCTTCCCCAGGAACTGGTAACCCACCTGATAGTCTGGCCGGCTCAAGTGTTCACTCTACTGTTTCAGTGGTCCATAGAGATAAGTACCACTATTTTATCTTGTAAGAGTTTTTGATTGGGGCGTTTATATAGGGGTATTAAAATTTACAGTGTTACACTATTTTCAGTTTCATTAATTTCTAAAAAGGTATACACAGCATACAACGTGGTTCCACACAGAAGTGGACACAGAAATTAGCTTTATCCATTTATTATTATTGGAATGTCTTTTAATTAGAGTTGAGCGGATACCTGGATGTTCGGATCCGGCGGGCTCGAACTTGACCCCGAACCCCTTTGAAGTCAATGGGGACCCGAACTTTTGGGCACACAAATGCCTCTAAAAACTCCTGGAAAGGGCTAGAGAGCTGCAGAAGGAAGTAAAATGGGGGTAAGAGTAGGGCAAGTCACTTAAAATAACATAAAATACCTACAAATTAAAAATACAGCTGATCCATAAAATAGCACTAGATGGAATCTTTGATTTTAGCTTTGGAAGAACATAAATCAAAATCTAAAGCATGGCTGTCAGGAGGATCACCAGAATTATCCATTTGAGAGAGGGTTGGAGTGCAGGGTATTCTCTAAATATCGGGACATATAAAAAAAAAGAAACATTTGCGGACTGCGGTGCATTTCTTGCAGTCCTGATGCATGGAGAAATTCTCAACTCCTGATGCATGGAGAAAAGGCCTTCACAAGCCTCTGCTAATGTTTACAAAGTTTATACTAAGTGACCCATAGGTTGAGGAGGCGGTGACCATGGCGGTGTAGGTGGAAGCAGCGGTGGAGGAGGATGAGGTAACCAACACTATTTTTATATATATATATATATATATATATATATATATATTTTTTTTTTTAATTGGGGTAGCCCCCAAAATATTGGGACAAATAAAAAAAGACAACTCTGTTCCGCAGAGTAGCTGTTGACATTATAGTTGCGCAGGCACTTTGTTGTCTCTAGAAAACCTCAGGCCAATCGCACATTCTGATGACGGCGACTTTGCATTCGGATGTCATCCATAACAACTTTCGATGCCAGTTTCTGCGCCTACCCTGGTGACCATGGGTAACAGGGAATCGGGGTTCCATTCTGTACAGGGACTCTGAGAAATGGCTACCACATGCAAGGAAGGCAGCAGGCACGCAAATGACCCACTCCCGATGCGGGAAGGTAGTGACGACAAATAACAATACAGGACTCTTTAGAGGCCCTGTAATTGTAATGAGTCTACTTGAAATCCTTTAACTCTGATCAATTGGAGGGAAGTCTGGTGCAGAGCCACTGACCCGTGCGTGCTGCAGCTGAAACTCCACTATCGCCTGCTGCTGCTCGCACAGTCTCATAAGGCGGTGAGCAGGAAGGCCGAAGTTACTCTGCAGCGCAGACAGGCGAGCAGCAGCAGCGTGAGAACTCCAAAAGTGCGCACAGCTGTGTTGTTCCAAGTTGTGGATCAGTCTGGTGATGGCTTCTGGTATCCAGTACTCTTTTTACTGAAGCTGCATCAGGGTCCTGGTATGTGGCCGCACAAACGCTGGTGCTCAACACCAGGGGGCGTGCGGATACCCTGCACCAGACCCTGCTAATCCATTCCACACTGTGACTCCTAACTTCAACATCAGGCATAGTGGGTCCTGGTTGTCCGACAGCCGCCCAGAGAGTGTCTGGGTCCTGGTCACTGGACTGCCCACCTGACTGTGAAACTACGAATGGATCGTTATATCTGGTACGAACCCGAACTTTGCAGTTCGGGTTCGCTCAACTCTATTATGGATCCTTTGATCGCTATATGTTTTACTTGAATAACTGGTAATTCTTGAGCTAATACATGGCGACGAGCGCTAGGGGACAGCCGCTCCACTTTTGCACCCTGCTCCCTCTTATGCTGTGCTGGTGTCTCTGTGCGACCAGTGCCTATTCCTTGAAACTGCACATGTCACTCGCATGACATTGATTCTATGTGGGGTCTAGGACCTCATCATCCTCCACATCATCTTCCACACACTCCTCAACCCTGCCCTCCTTGCCGGTATGCACACTGCAGAAATCCACAGCAGTTGGCACCTGTGCTTTTCCAGCATGTAAAGTCTGCAAAGGACATATGGAAATTGTTTTAGAATTGTATCCAGGCAACAGTTTTTCCTATAAACTGACCTCTCAGTTTGACTTGTGAGGGTATTGCTCCAGAATTACAATATTGTTTAAGTACCTCTTAGCTATTGATAACTGATTTAAATATAGCAGCTTGTTATCTGGTAGTTTCTAGTGTAGAAAATATCAATCTGTTTTCTATCACTTAGATCTGTGTAACAAGTGTTGTAGGTGTGAAACAATATTACAAGTGACCGATGTAGTAAATTTGAATCAAAGTTACGCTTCAATTTGACTCTCAGATATGAAGAGCAGACCCCAAAATGTACTATTTAGGAGATTAGCAGCAAAACATTTAGACCTTTTACAAATGCGCAGTAAGTGCACAATTTGAGGCTTTTATTTGACTCTCAGATATGAAGTGCACCGCAGGCCGCAAATGTATTATTTAGCAGATTAGCAGCAAAACAATTAGAATTTTTACACTTGCGCAGTAAGCGCACTATTAGACGATTCTATTTGACTCTCAGATATGAAGAGCAGGCCCCAAAATGTACTACTTAGTAGATTAGCAGCAAAACAATTAGAATTTTTACAACTGCGCAGTAAGCACACTATTAGATGTTTCGATTTGACGCTCAGATATGAAGAGCAGGCCCCAAAATTTACTATTTAGCAGATTAGCAGTAAAACAATTAGAATGTTTACCACTGTGCAGTTAGCGCACTATATGACGCTTCTATTTGACTCTCAGAAATGAAGAGCAGGCCCCAAAATGTACTATTTAGCAGATTAGAAGCAAAACAATTAGAATTTTTACAACTGCGTAGTAAGCGCACTATTTGACGCTTCTATTTAAATCTCAGATATGAAGAGCACGCCCCAAATGTACTATTTAGCAGTTTAGCACCAAAACAATAAAAATGTTTACAACATAAGTGCACTATTAGATGCTTCTATTTGACTCTCAGATATGAAGAGCAGGCCCCAAAATGTACTATTTAGCAGATTAGCAGTAAAACAATTAGAATGTTTACCACTGCGCAGTAAGCGCACTATTTGACGCTTCTATTTGACTCTCAGATATGAAGAGCAGGCCCCAAAATTTTCTATTTAGTAGTTTAGCACCCAGAAAATTAGAATGTTTATAACTGCGCTTTAAGAGCACTATTAGACGCTTCTATTTCATTCTCAAATATGAAGAGCATGCCCAAAATGTACTATTTAGCAGCAAAACAATTAGAATGTTTATCACTGCGCTGTAAGCGCACTATTAGATGCTTCTGTTTGACTCTCCGATATGAAGTGCACCCCACTGAAATACTATATAGCAGTTTAGCACCCCAAAATTTTTAGGTTTTAAAACTGCAATGTGACAGCAGTATTTGACGCTTCTATTTGACTCTCAGATATGAAGTGCACCCTACTAATGAACTTTTTAGCACCCAAAAAAATTTAAGTTTTAAAACTGCAATGTGACAGCAGTATTTGACGATTCTATTTGACTCTCAGATATGAAGAGCACCCCACTAATGTACTATCCCACTAATGTACTATTTAGCATCAAACAAAATTGACTTTTTAAATCTCCGATGTAACCGAGGTATTTGAAGCTTCTATTTGACTCTCAGATATGAAGTGCACCCCACTAATGTACTAGTTTGCAGAATTCTTTCCTAAGCTGTCCCTCACAGCTGCAGCATCCTCTCCCTACACTAATAAGACCTCAAGTGCATGCGGCGCTTCGCGACTCCAGCTTATATATAGAGGCTGGGTCATATGCTGCACTGGCCAATCACAGCCATGCCATTAGTAGGCATGGCTGTGATGGCTTCTAAGGGCACACAAGTCAAACGCTTGTTGATTGGCCGCCCTGCAGCCTTTGAAAACGTGCCATTAAATCGCCGAACACCGAACTCTAACCCGAACATACAGTGATATGTCCGTGTTTGGGTCCGGGGTCCAAAAACCCTAATGTTCTGTACGAACCCGAACTTTACAGTCCGGGTTCGCTCAACTCTACTGTTAATATATTTTTGCCATTAACAGTATTATTTAATATTTTTTCTTCTTTTAATTATACTTGTCTTAATAAATAAGAATGTTATATATTTAAAAAAAAAACTTTTTTTAATCTTAACTAGGACGTTATTGAAAGATTGCATTGATTTATAACTATTTGTGTAATTAGCAGCATTATTGATAGCAATGCACAGTTGAGTGTATAGAGAGAGAGAGAGGAGAATAAGGAAGGACTTTGCATTTGCTGTGAGAAGCTCCAAGAGGTGGAGTGAAATGCGTTCCGGTCATATGCCAGGGCCATGGCCAGCAACTCAGAGGAATCTTGGAACTAATCCAGGCCGTGAATACCTGTTTTTCGAATTGTTTTTAACCGAATATCGAAATAAAGGAGTATTTTCATTAGTTAAACACATGCAGTGAAGTATAAATTGTACAACATATAGTATTTTGGCCACTGTTTCACTTTATTGCATCATTTGTGCATCATTATTTAGAAGCCCATCCTACACAGATGGTGAGGTCATCTATATGTTGCATTTATCCCGCATAATGAGTAGTTGATAATACACACAGATCACCTCTTTTCATACATACATGAGATTAACGGGAGTTACACTCTTGAACGGTAGTTGCTATCATTACAATAGCAGCAGGTCGAATACCTTCCATCCAGGACTGTGACTTATTTTGACGGGTTGGGACATCAGTGTTTCAGTGCACCACTTACAATACAATCCTCCTCTTAACTACTTTGCTACACTACATTACACTAACTATGAACCCCCCTACACTACAATAAACAATCACCCCAGCGCTATCCTACACCAACTATTTTACCTACACTACCTTAACATTAGACGTTACATCCTTCACACTACCATTTATTTGTACCGTAGTGAAGCATGTATAATGGGGAAAAATCTCTATCTCTTTTGTCTTGTAGTTGATTATGATGTTTTAAGAATCCCTGAATGGCATAATTTTACCTTAATATCCAGTTATCATTATGCATTTTTGTCTTTTTCTCTCTTTGTGTCTATGCGTGTCTTTTTATACTTTCCTAGAACATATCAATAATGTTTGTACTGTGAATCACAACTTATTGATATCAAATGATAGTTAAACCCTTATATATAAATTACAGATCTAGACTTCTGAATAATTCCATAAACAAAAAATTTTTATGTCTATAATAATTATTACATCATGATATATAATAAACATTGCTAAAACAGAGGTGGAGCCCGACAACAGACCAAAACAGTTGAATGTAATCTCAAGGAAAGTCTGAAATTGAGACATTTACCATGCAAAAACACATGATGTTCGGCAGATATCCTGCTCTATCTACCAGGAAATAACGAGCAGAACATTTGATCTGCATTTAGCTGAACCATCGGGTATTGCCAGCATTGGTCTTCTCCACAACTCGAGACAAACAAAAAGAATTGCTAAAAGAGTATCCCAAACTTTTTCAGGTATCTTGAATATGAATGCAGTGTAATGCATATTTTTACTATTCTGACCATAAATAAATTATTGCAGTGCAGATCATTAACACTGTACATCTTCCCCCAAATGAATATTTAAAAGAAGAAAGTCATAAATATGTACCTTTTTCTTAAGTAAAAGTATGATCTAACTTGTCTCTTTTGTCTTTTATGTTTCTAAACACATTAATTTCCTTTGATACTCACTGTTATAATTTTAGAAACGGTTGCACTTATTCTGCACAAAGAGACTCAAAGGAATTTGTCAAAGAAATTAAAAGTATTTGCAAATGAACTTGTTCACCAGACCTGGCTCTCTTGTGAGTACTATAGCTTTCTGATGCTTTCATTTAAATTGCATATTACTGACTGATTAGAAGATTATTAATGCCTGTAGATCACACAGTAATTGTACAATAAATTGTTGAAAGAAATGGTTGTGTAGTGTAATGGCAATTAGCAGGTAATTACATATAGATGCCAGTTATTAATATGACACACAGCAGTAAGTCACTTTTCTGCACAGGTAAACAAGTCATCTACTTTTTTTTAATATTCAAAAGAAAATAAGGTTTAAAGA